CTAATGGAAAGAAGGGCTAGGAGGGCATGATGGCAGCCTTCCAGTATTTGAAGGGCTGCCCCAAAGAAGAGGGGGGGGGGTCTTACACAAAGCCTCTTAGGCAAGACAACAATGGGTGGAAGCTAATCAAGGAGAGAAGCAAACTGGAGCTAAGGAGAAATTTCCTGACAGAACAATTAACCAATGGAACGGCTTACTTTCGGAGGTTCTGGGGCTCCCATCATTGGAGCTTTTCAAGAATTGATTGGACAGCCCTTTGTCTGGAATGGTATGGAGTCTCCAACTTGTGCGGGGGGGGGGGGGTTGGGCTAGATAACCTCCAAGTTCCCTTCCAACTCTGATATTTCCTTTCTGGCAATTCCTCCCTCCCTCTTGGCTCAGCCCATTCCCATGAATATCTAGTAGCTGATCTCTTTAGTAGTAATGGTGTTGTGAGAACAGGGCTTTGTTCCTCCCCCATTGTTCAACTGCTTCAAAGGAAAATATAGAAATACTCTTGGTAATTCACCTGCTTGGGGAGGGGCTGACAGGCAAGTCAGGGTGGAGGAGGAGGAGGGGGAGGACCCCACTTCCTGGCGGGGGGGGGGGTTGTGGCTTTCACCCCACATTGCTGATTGTGTTCTAAGCACGGGATAGGAAAATATCTTTGGCTTATGAGCGAAGAGGTGCAACAGCATGAGAGGAGTACAGGGTTGGCAGGAAAAGGAGAAAAGGCAGCGACCTTCCCTTGTAATCCTTTGGGGGGGGGATATGGGGAGGTAGTTACCACAGTTGGGGGAGCAGCCTCTGCAGAGAGCTAATAGGCTGAGAGTTTTCCTTTTTGGTTTTGTGCTTGTGGCCGTTCCAGTCAAAATGCACTGCAGCAGCGGTCCCCTGGCCCGGCACCGGTCCACACCATGCCAGAGAGCGGTCCGCACAAACAAGTGAAGCCCCGTCCACCGGGTGCTGGCAGCACGTGAAACCAGCCCCCTTCCAGTCCCAGGAAAAACTGGTCTCCACGGAACCAGCCCCTGGTGCCCAAAAGGTTGGGGGCCGCTGCATTACAGGGAATCCTCATTTAGCAACCGCAGTTGGGACTAGACACTTGGTCGTTAAGCAAAGTGGTTACTAAGTGAAACTTGGATTGCTGATGATCTGACTTCAGCTTCCCTTTGCTTCGTAGACCTGCAAAATTATTTTTTCATCATGTCAATGAGGCTGTTGCTAAAGGAGAACTACCTGTATGGAAGCCCTTACAACTCACAGAAAGCAGCAACTGCTCTGCATAGGAAGATCAAAGCAGAGAGTGTGGAGGGAGGGGCCGGAGGGGCAGGGCAAGAAAAGTCCCAGCAGAGTCAGCTTGCCATCTCCTCCCCCCCCCCACACACACCCTCCACAATTTGTGGGTCTGGCTCTCCAAGGGGGCCCCCACCTTGCAGCCTCGGGCTTTGTGCCATAGGCAGGAGATGAGATGTGGGGGGGAGAGCAGCTAACTTGGGTGTTGGCCTGTGCAGAGTCCAGCAGGGAATTGCCTGGTCAGAAGAAAGGAGCTTTCTGGTTGTGATTGGCCCCGCCAGGCTGGTTCTGTGCCAGCTTTGAGGAAGTCTCCCAAGCCCAAAATAGAAAGTCCATTTTCCCACCTTCTCTAAAAAGCCGCGTGACCTAGAAATGAATGACTCTGAGATTCCACTTCCTTGGTTGGGGGGGGGGGGAATCCTGATTTTGGCGGAGGGGAACTGTGGCTGTGATGTTGCTTGATGTTGCTTTTGAGAAACAGCGCAAAGGCCTCCTTGGCAACTTCTCTGTTGGCATTGTGAGACAGGCAGGCCCCATCTCTGTTTCTGGCAAAGAAGCTCTGTGTGAGGAGCGGTCATGAGGACTAGAAGCGCCACCTTGCTTTTGCAACCCAGAGCCCAAGATTCTCAGAGTGGGCAGAATGACCGCACAGTTCTCCCTTGAAGTAAAAGTACAAAATTGAGGCTGCATGTTGTTATCTTATTCTACTGGGTTAAAAAGAGTCAGAAGTCAATGCTTTTCTTTCTTTTCCCCCTTTTATCGTACAGTTTTTCCTCTTCCCTTTTTCCTCCCTACTTTCTCACTATTTTCATTTTCATTTTTATTTGTATTTTATATTTTGATAAACGTAATAAAAATATGGAAGCATAAAAAGGAAAAACCGATACCCTCAAGGGTGCCCAGTGCCCTTTTTGCCCTTCAGTACCCATGCCAGCAGCTGAAGGGCACTTTCCTCGCAACTGCTTACTTGTGAGAAGTGGAAGAAAACTCAGCCCACGGGCAATGGGCATGTGTGTGTGTGTGTGTGTGTGTGTGTGGCTTTTAGATTCGTCTTTCTAGTAATTTGTCGTGAGCATAATTTGTAACACTGAGCTTCATATTCAGTTACATCTTGCAAGGCCAATATGAAATCAGAACCACATGGGCACTCACACCCCTTTCAAGGACTCGCCCTGTGCCCCCCTGCATGAGCCTCACCCCTAACATTTCCACCTCTTGGGAAGAGACTGGCGCAGCGTCCATCCTCGCTTGCTGGTTTCGGCCACTGGTCGGTTTCCAGAAGCACAAATCTGTGCATTAAATAGTTTCGCCTTTCCAAGTGACCAAATATCATTGCTTTTCCTTCCTGGACGATCCATGTTGCCGAAAACATCCCTTGGACCACCGCTCTGAGGTGCCTTGACTCTGTTCAGCTGGCCTCCTGGGAGGTGCCTGACACCCGCCCTCCCCTTGCGGACTTCAGCAAATTCAAGTCAAAACTAAACACACACCCCCTTCTGTCGAAATCTGTGGAGCTGAGGGGGGGGGGAGAAAACTTGTTCCAGTCCGCAGGGCAATTGGTGAGGAGTGAAACAGGGAAAGGTGTTGCTGAAAACCCAGCTGGAAGCAGCGGCCCGTGGCCAACTATAAGGAGCTACGGCCACAAGTGAGCTCAAAATCCCTCTTGCTAAGTGAGACAATTGTTAAGTGAGTCTTGCCCCATTTGATGACCTTTCTTCACACAGTTGTTAAGTGAATCACTGCCGTTGTTACATTAGTAATGTGGTTGTTAAGTGAATCCAGCCTCCCTAAAGAATTTGCTGGTCAGAAGGGTCACGTGACCCCGGGAGACAGTGACCGTCACGAATGTGAGTCAGTTGCCAGACGACTGCTCATAAGTGTGAAAAGCGGTCACAAGTCATCTTTTTCAGTGCCGTTGCAACTTTGAACAGTCACTAAATGAATGGTTGTAAGCTGAGGACTGCCTGCATCCTTTTACTCCCCGTCAGCTGCCGAGCGAGCCGGTGCTGCTTGTAAGCCCTTGTAGTTTCCAGTTGCATCCTGTCTTGTTCCAGAAGAAAAGGGAGGCAGCCGACGAATGGAAACTTGGATCCCAGCTCCAATAAACATGCAGATTTTTCCTCCTCTTCTCTGTATTTATAGTTTCCTCGTCTCCTTCCTAAATTAAAGCCAAATGAAACTTAAAAAAAAAACTGAGGCCCCATTTTCCCTGCTTTGACTGCGTTGTTGGCATCCTGCATTGGGTTGAGTGGAGAGTGGAAAGGGGCTACTTAGGAGCCCCCCGCCCTGGTCCCTGCTGGGTTCACTGGACCCCACCCCGGGGACCCCCCCCTCCAAGCAGTTTGTCTCAAGGCCTGGCAGTTGAAGGGGAGAAAGCAGCCTTTGGTTCCTCTCCTGCTGAGGGCCTTCTCCGCTGTGCTCCCTAAAACGTGCAGCAGACTCACATCGGGCTTCACGCCCAGCGCCCAGCCCCTCACCCCAGATCCGAGGCTGAGTTGAGCACCCTGGAGGGTTGTGCTCACTGGTCTTCATTGCTTTGACTTTTCACATCTCCAGACAGTTTTTGTAATAACAAACAAAACATTGAATGTGTTTAATGCCACTTAGGGCTCCACCTGATGGTTAGTGTAGTTGAATAATGCCACACAGGATGAACACCAGTGTTCCTCAGTCTTGGCAGCTTTTAAGACATGCAGACTTTAACTTCAGTGAAAGATCTGCAAGGAAACAAGAAGCCCCGAGAGCATCAGGGAGCCCCCCGCAGTTGGTCCGCAGTTGAGCTACAAGTATTCTCTTCTATGGGCACGAATTCTTAGCGGATGATCATCCCAAGTGCTGGGACAGAAAGCATCGCTCTGTGACTCAGTCGGCTGCGCCCTTCGCCTTTCCCTGTGTGGAGATGTTTGTCTTTTGACCTTCAGCCTGAAATCCTGGCCCTTGGTGGCCTTGCTGGTCCCCACAGCTCTCGGTGCCCAGTTTGGAAGGAATCTCTCCTTTACGGCCAGAGTAGATGAGACGAGAACAGCGTATTTCTTCTAAGTCAGGATTTCCCTTCAACATCTTAATTAGCGCTGCACATTTCTTGAGTCATCAGCAGCTGAGGCTACTGGAGCCAAATCTGCTTTTGATCAGTTCTCCTCCTTGCTGGTGAGGCCGCCCAAATAGCCAGTCCCACAGATGAAAGGGAGTTCCTCTGGATGGGTTGCTAATTTAAAGTTTCTGCTCCTTCAAGCCTGAACTTCTTGATGTCTAGAATTGCATGTATTGCCTTCCAGCCACACTCCACATGGCGCCCACAAGAGCTTGGGCAATGATCAGCACAGCCAGATGAGGGCGCCAGATTCCCAGAAAAGGCAATTCTACTCACAGTGAGCCTGTTGTGGTTTTGTAGTTTGCTGAGATGTGTGAATGGAGTCACTCTTTTTATCCCTGGGCCTAGGTTCAAATCTGGCTAATGTTCTGGTGCTCCCAAGTCTTATTCCCATGGGCATCTTATGGGTGTTGCCTGTTGTGGTTTACTCGCTTACAAATGAACGAGCCACAATTTGCAGAGATGTGTAAATGGAGTTTACTCTGGACCTGAGTTTGAATCTGATTAATATTCTGTTTCTCCCAAGTCTTGTTCCCAAAGTCTCCCAAAGTCCATCTTGTCTTTTGGCGGGGCTGCTGTGGTTGCTGGGCACAAGACTTTCCTCCTTACCAATGGCTGCATCTTTCTCTTGCAGGGACACCAAGAAGAAAGGAGAACTGCTCACTGCCCAGGCCCGCCTGAAGGATGTGGAGGCCTTGCTCAACTCCAAAGAGGCTGCGCTCACCACCGCCTTGGGGGAGAAGCGCAATCTGGAGGGTGAAGTCCGCAACCTCAGAGGCCAGCTGGCCAAGGTAGGCCGGACACACCTGTGAAGATCCCCAACAGCCTCCCTGCTCTGCACTGGGGGGACCCTTGAGATGGGGGGGGCAGTTTCTCCTCCTGCGCCTCCATCCCTTGTCCATCTTTGGACTACCGGTTCCAAACTGTTATGCCAGGAGGAATGAGTTTGTGGGCCCAGGGAAACTATGCCTGCAAATGTCTGTTGTGCAGGAGGGGAGGGGCCCTTCTGCTGGGAGACCACCAGCTTTTCACCTCTTTCCCGGGCCAGCTCTTGTTCCTGCAGATTGCCAGCCAAGGCAATAAAGATGGCAGAGCCAGGCTTAGGCTGGTCGACCTTATTAGGCTTCCAAAACTGAAGGCAGGCTGGTGGTCTTTGAGTCCCCCCTCCCAACAATGGATCGGTGGGCTCCTGTTATGATTTTTATTTAGCCATGCTTTATTTTTTTGTGAATTTTGTAATTGTGAATTTAACCTGTGCTGTTCATAAGGAGGCCAAAACAGCAGCAAGATTTATAACCGTATTTCTTGAGCTTGGCAGTTGAATGATGGGTGGACTTCAACTCCCAGAGGGGAATTCTGGGAGTTGGTCCATCCATCTTCTACTTGCCAAGGTTGAGAATCATTGGTCCAACAATGGACCAACAGACCTATTGACTGTACTCAGCTGTGGCCCTTCAAAGGTAGACCACTCCTGGCCACGGTGCCATTGACTGTCCTGAATTTAGCCCCTTCATCGTTGAGGTTGCATTGCTCAGACATTCCCTCCCTCTGTCACTATAGGGCCCCAAACCCCTCCTCCCCCTGCTTTTCCTGCTTGTCTCTATGTCCGTCCTGCACCCTCTCTGAGATCTAGAATAGTAATCTGGATTTTACAATCAGCTTAATTTTACTGTCACTTTGCTCCCCAAACTGGCTGGGGGCCGGAAAAGCTCACCTGTGCAGGAGCCAGGTGAGGCCAGCAGGGGGCGATGGAGTCCACCATTTGCCAAGGCAGAGAGGAGGAATGGACAGTTGAAAAGCACAGCGATCCTTCCGTGCGGTGACCTTTAAGAGGACCTGGCTGGGTGGACTCTTGCTTCCATCATCCCCGACCATGGATCTGCCTCCCTGCCTGGGAGCATCTTCCATTTGCTTGTTTGTTTTTCTATAATTTTATTTATTTACATCCTGCCTTTATTATTTTTATAAACGACTCAAGATACCAAAATGCTCCTTCCTTCTATTTTCTCCAGCACAGCAACCCAGTGAGGTGGGCTGGGCTGAGAGAGAGGGACTGGCCCAAAGTCATCTGGAGGCTTTTATACCTAAGATGGACCAGAACTCCCAGTCTCCTGGTGATTGGCCCAAAGCCACCCAACTGGCATTCGTGCCAAAGTCTCCTGGTTGCTAGTCTGGTGCCTTCAACCACCAGATGAGACTGGCTTTCCTTCTGCTTTAGATCCCCTGAGTCCAGATGTTTTTCACTCCCTGCAGCCTTTAAGAGGACGGCAGGCTGTGCGGGAGAGAAGCTAAATCAGCATCAAAGGCTCGTAAACTTCATCTCTTAACTTGGAGAAAGGTGCCTTAAGATGATCGGGCTTCTTTGGAGCAAGCTGATGGGAGATACTTCCCATAACATACACACACACACACACACACACACACTGGGAGCATGGAGGAGCTGGTGGTATGGTAGGCAAGTTGGGCACCGATGGATCTAGAGCAGTTGGGGTCGAACAACCATTTCACGGGGGTCGCCAAACAACGCAGTCTGCCATTTTTTTCCCCCTTTTCCTTAGCTGTGCTCCTCCATTTTATTCTACTGGCTTTTGAAAGCCAATAGAATAGACTCTCTTGAATAGAGTCTAATTCTATTGGCTTTCAAAAGCCAATAGGAATTGTCCAGGCTGTCTCTGCCCTGCTGAGCCGCCAAAAGTCCCATTCTGCAAATGGTGCTGCACCAGTTGAGTAGTCCTCGACTTACGACCGGTTGAGTAGTCCTCGACTTACGACCGGTTGGGGGTCACGGCATTAAAAAGGTTGAGAACACTGATCTAGAGAGAGACGTCCATGAGACAGATGTTGAGGGCCCAGCCCAGTCACACAGCCTTAGCAGAGCCACCTCCTGCCACGTGGCCCTCCCAGCCAGCCAGGTGATCGGGGGCCATGTGCTCCCCCTTCCGTGCAGTGAGGGGGTCCCTTGTTTGTCCCCCTGCAGTTGGAGGTGGCCTTGGCCGACGTCAAGAAGCAGCTTCAGGACGAAATGCTGCAGCGGGTGGATGTGGAGAACAGGCTGCAGACCCTGAAGGAGGAGCTGGACTTCCAGAAGAACATCTACAGCGAGGTGAGTCCCAGAATGCAGAAGGGTCCCTTAGAGGTCACCTAGTCCAACCCCTTTAGGGTAGGAATCCGACACCGCCTTGGCTTGAAAAGTGACTCTGCTGTTTCATAGTTCTCATAGCCAGGAATTCCTCCTTGAGTTTGGGTCCCCCTCCATAAAACACCCACCCATCGGCCCTAGAGAGAGTAAATTCCTTCCTTTTCTAAAATAAATTTTATTATTAAGTTTCATTGTAAAATAAAAATACAGAAAAAACAAAAGTTAGAAAACAGACACAGAGAGAAAAAAGTGGCAGCTTCCAACTTTTTCAGGACGGTGACATACAACCCCCCCCCCGAGCTTTACGCTTCACGTTTCACGCCATTTCAGTAACCACAGAACCATCCTAATCACCAGAACCTAAACCACAGATAGTCGGTCTCCATGGGCTGGGAGACGGAACTCGCCATCCTGCCTTGGGGCAGGCAGTCAGCCCAATTCATGCACTGGGTGGCCTTTTCGCCCCACATCTCCCCACAGAGGAGCTGGGGCTGCTGGATCACGGGGGCAGTGGGTTGGGGCTGGAGGGGGCAGGTCACGGTTGGAGGGAGTTGTGCCTTCTTGCCAGTCCTGGGATGCCCTGCTCACCCGCTGCCCCGCTGTCCGCAGGAGCTCCGGGAGACCAAACGCCGCCACGAGACGCGCCTGGTGGAGATCGACAGTGGGCAGCAGCGTGATTTTGAGAGCAGGCTGGCCGATGCGCTGCAAGACCTCCGCAGCCAGCATGAAGCCCAGGTCAATCTCTACAAAGACGAGCTGAAGAAGACCTACATGGCCAAGGTAGCGCACCTGGGGGGTGGACTCCCACTCCCATCATCCCCAAGCTGGCACACTTTGGTCAAGGGCTGTTCTGCTGCCCCCCCCCCTTGAGAAATTCTCAAGGTCAGATAATCCCACCTGGTCTTCCTCACCTGAAGTTTAAGAGGACGGCGGGCGCTGGGGCAGGATCGGGGCCTTGCCAAGTCAGGCTCCTAGCCTGGGGAAAGGAAGCTGCCTGAAGGGGGGTTCCTTGGGTTGGGGAACAGGGGCACCCCGCTCCTGCCCTGCAGAGCAGCCCAGGGCAGCCTTGAGGACCGGCCACTTTGAAATAAGCCAAACTCTGCCATCTCCAGAATGCTATTTCTAATCTTTGCAGCTGGAAAATGCCAAGCAGTCGGCCGAGAGGAACAGCAGCATGGCAGGGGCGGCTCACGAGGAGCTTCAGCAGACCCGGATTCGCATTGACAGCTTGTCCGCCCAGCTCAGCCAGCTGCAGAAGCAGGTAGGGGTCTCCTGGGGGAGGGTGGAGGTGGGGAGGGAGCCGCTGGTCTCCCACCTGCTCCGACCACCGTTTGGTCTCCAGGTGAGGAAATCTCACCTTTTGTTTTGCAAGTAGGAAGCGCCGCCCAGGTGCTTCAACTCACTTTGTGGTACCTGTTCCTGGGTCTCCCTTTGAAGATTTTGGGTGGTTTACAGGTAGTCCTTGACTTACAACCATTAGTATAGCGACCGTTCAATGTTACAGTGGCACTGAAAAAAAAAGTGACTTAAGAGCAGTCCTCACACTTGCGTTGTCCCTTCAGTCACATGATCAACCGGTCTGGATTTACAATGGTTACAGCATCTGGGATCACTTGATCACCATTAAGGACCTTCCCAGCTGGCTTCCAACAAGCAGAGTTAACGGGGGGAGCCTGATTCGTTTAATGACTACATGATTCACTTAATGACCTTGCAGATCTCTCTCCCTCTGTGAAGCCCCCACTGATCCTTCCCAGATGGGGTCTGCTCGCCTGGCTTTCTGTCCAGGCACCCACTCCTCTCTTGCCTTCCTCCCCACCCAGCTGGCGGCCAAGGAGGCGAAGGTGCGGGACCTGGAGGACATTCTGGCACGGGAGCACGAGACCAGCCGCCGCATCCTGGCAGATAAGGAGCGGGAGATGGCCGAGATGCGGGCCCGCATGCAGCAGCAGCTAGACGAGTACCAAGAGCTGCTTGACATCAAATTGGCCTTAGATATGGAGATCAACGCCTATCGAAAATTGCTGGAAGGCGAGGAGGAGAGGTGGGGCTGGTGGCCTGGGCAAAGTTTGCCATCCCCTGCAGAGGGGGGACCATTTTGGGGCCCTCCTAGGACAGGTTGGGCAGACCGTTCAGGCAGAAAGATCACTTTGGCTTGAGCGCTTCTCCTAGCATGGAGGGTGGGCAGCGCAGCCCTCCTGGAACGAAACCTGTTTGCTGTGGGGAGCACAGGTGCATCCATGTGGCCTCAGCCCCCCACCTCTCTTTTTCCCCCAGGTTGCGCCTCTCCCCCAGCCCCTCCTCCCAGAAGAGCAGCTCGCACATCCGTGTCACTTCTTCCGCCCAAAGCTCCACCAAGAAAAGGAAGCTGGCGGACAGCGAGAGCCACACCAGTTTCTCCCAGCATGCCCGGACCAGAGGCCGTGTGGTCGTGGAGGAGGTGGATCTGGAGGGCAAATTTGTCCGGCTGAGGAACAAGTCCAATGAGGTGGGTGCCGGTCGTGGCAGGTTGCCGATCCAGAACCCCTGGGCCAAAGGGGGCTGAGGAAACCATTTGGTCCTGGTGTCAACGTGAATTTAGGATTTCTTTGATTTCAAAATGTTGTTGACCCTCTATCATAATGGGCTGCAATATAAATGCTGATTTTGGCCTTACAGGCAAGGTCACTTCCGGTTTCAGCAAGCTACAATGAAACAGGGTGGATCTGCCTTAGCGGTTGGGGAGTTCCAGTTCCGCAGTGACTGGATTTATGATGTGTTTGATGGGAAAGGGCCCTAATTTCTTAGAAGGTTGTAGTGATTGCAAAAACCTATAGCTAGGTAAACTGTCCTCAGTGTGGAAAGGTTTGGGTTCTATTCTTACCTGCTCAAGTTTTATAGGTGTTCCTGGCTTCATCTAGAGCCTTTCTGACTATTGGCCAATTGTTTTGCAATTGGTTCATCCATTTCTTAGGGCAGTGATTCCCAATCTTTTCTATCCCCTGCACCCCTAGAATGCTTCTGATATATTCTCACACCCCTTACAAAAAAGTTCAAAGTAACGGGAGCGAATTATGCATATACACTATAATTTTGAAACTTCTAAACCCAAATTTTCGCACCCCCTGGAATATCGTCTAGCATCCCCGGTTAGAAACCCCTGCCTTAAGTGATGGGATGGTGGGCTCATTGGTCGACAGATCAGGCATTGGTATAAACACTTTGTTCTGTGGCTACTTGAAAGGGGGCGTATCCTGTGCTGCAATGGACAGTATTGTTATATGCTACTTCAGCAAATGGCAAGAGATCAGTCCAATAGTCTTGCTGGTAGTTGATGAAGCAACTAAGGTGCTGCTCCAGAACTGAGTTTGTTCTGTCCTCCCATTCATTTGAGGATAGTGACTAGAACTCAAGCCATGTTCTGTGCCCAATAGGTCCAGAAAGGCCCTCCAGAATTTTGAGGTAAACTGGACATCTCTATCTGAAATTATAAGTTGGGGGGCTCCATGCAATCGGTAGATATGTTGGAGGAACATTTTAGTGAGAATCTTGGCAGTTGGGATCTTCTGGCATGGGATGAAGTGGACCTGTTTTAAGAACAAGTTGGTTATGACCCAAATGACCATATTTCACGCATTCTCCGGCAACAACAACAATAATAATAAACTTGGAAGGGACCTTGGAGGTCATCTAGTCCAACCCCCTGCTCAGGTAGGAAACCGTATATCATTTCAGACAAATGGCTGTCCAGTCTCTTCTTAAAAACTTCCAGTGTTGGAGCATTCACCGCTTCTGGAGGCAGGCTGTTCCACTGGTTAATTGTTCTAACTGTCAGGAAGTTTCTCCTTAGTTGCTTCTGTCCTTGATTAGTTTCCATCCATTGCTTCTTGTCCTGCCTTCAGGCGCTTTGGAGAATAGCTTGACTCCCTCTTCTTTGTGGCAGCCCCTGAGATATTGGAACACTGCTATCATGTCCCCCCTCGTCCTTCTCTTCATTAAACTAGACATATCCAATTCCAGCAACTAATTTTTATATGTTTTAGCCTCCAGTCCCCTAATTATATTTGTTGCTCTTCTCTGTACTCTTTCTAGAGTTTCAGCATCTTTTTTACATCGTGGTGACCAAAACTGGATGCAGTATTCCAAGTGTGGCCTTACCAAGGCATTGTAAAGTGGTATTAATACTTCACGTGATCTTGATTCTGTCCCTCTGTTAATGCAGCATAGCATTAGGAACCGCTCGTCTTTCTCTAAAGCTTGTTTGAATGCTGTTAAGGCATCACTGTCTAGTGGCATGGGGGTTCTCTTCTGTGCTCTTGTAATCACCGTGGCTGGTAGCTGCTGTGCTGGTAATAACGGCGTGACTACATCTGCTTTGGTGCTCTTATACTGCAACATTCTAGATAAGGCATCAGCTAAATTCTTCCCTCCTGGCAAGTAGTGGAGAGTAAAATTGAACTGATGCTTGCTTGGGATACAACTTTCTAGGCATTTTGAGAGCTTCTAAGTTTAATCCATACCTGGAAAGGGATTTTGATCCCTTCCAGGAAATGCCTCCAGGTGAGAAAGGCCCAGTATACCGCATAAGCTTCCTTCTCCCAGACCACCCAGTGTTGTTCGGTTTCTGATCATTTTTGGGAGGTGTAGGCGCAGAGTTGTAATTAGCCCTTCTCGTTCTTTTGGAGTAACACCACTTCCACTGCTACATCGCTGACATCAGCTTGAATTACGAATCCCTTCTCTGGGTCTGGATGTTTTAATATAAGATCCGCCACGAAAAGCCTCTTTTAACTTTTCGAATGCCGCCTGGCACTCCGTACTCCATTTTAGAGGCTGTCTTGTTTTTAATAGGTTTGTGATAGGTAAGGCAATCGGGGCCAAGGAAGGGATGAATTGCTAGTAGAAATTCGCAAAACCCATAAAGCTTTGTAGTTGCTTTCGGGGGCAGGGGCTGCCCATCCCAGAATGGCGCATACCTTTTCCAGATCCATTTCCACTCCGTCATGCGAGATCCGATAGCCCAGGTAATCAATTTTCTCCTTATGCAGCTCGTACTTTGATAATTGCACACAGAGTTTGGCTGCCCCGAGCTTGTTCAGGATTGCCCTGACCAATTTCACGTGTTTGGCTTTCGTTTTGGTGTAGATTAATATATTGTCCAGATATTGATTCTTGATTCTAACTCGATTCTTGATTCTAACTCGGTGGTACACCTCTTGCAGGTCTAGCCTGTAAAATACTTTTCCTTTTAATTGGTGGGCCAGCATGTCTTTCATGAGGGGCAAGGGGTCCACATTTTCCACTCATACTGCATTCAAACCTCTATAGTCCACACAGAGATGAAGAGTCCCATCTTTCTTCTCTCTGAACAGCACGGTTGCAGCCACTTGGGTTCTGGCCCACTGGATGAATCCGCAGGCCAGATTTTTATAAATGAACTAGTGTAGTTCAGTTAATTCCCTGGGGGGGGGTCATTGAATACACCTTTAGTAGCTTAGCCCCTGGGTTGATTTCAATGGCGCAGCCTATGGGTTAGTGTGGGAGGGGCAGTTCATCCGAATTTCTTTTGCTGAAAACCTCAGCCAAATCACGATAATCTCTAGGTGTGGTCTGCAGGGCCTAAAATGGCCGCTGTTTCCCAGGTTTCTTCTCTTCCTGACAGGCAGCCCTTGTTGGGTAAGGGATTCTTCTCTTTGGGGAATTTTAAGTGTCCGATTCTCCAGCCTACTAGTGGATTCCATTTCTTCAGCCATGCCATCCCTAGGACAAGAGACCACTCCATTCCAGGAGCCATGATGAAAGTGAGTCTCTGAGTGGCTTCCCATGATTAGCCCCAGGGGTTCCATGGCCAGAGTAGCCGGGAAGCTTCCTGCAATGGACCCATCAAGTTGGCAGAATGCAATGGGTTTTTTTAGTTTTCTTAGCTGGACACCCAACTTCCTACTAGGGCTGAGTGACCAGACACCGAGTGCGCCCTGAGTCTAAGAGGGCGGTTAGGGCCACCTTCCCCTCTCTGCCCAGAACTAAGAGTTCTAAGGGCATGGTTATTGGCGCGATCGGCCCACTTACAGGGGGGTCGTTGTCGTAGTCACTCTCTGGCATCCCTGGTTCGTCCTCTGGTGGGGTCGGAGTTCCATCCCTGGGTTTTGGAGTTGGGCGGAACTTCATGACCTCAGTGCTCCTCAGGGCCGTGTCTTTTGGGCGCTGGTTGGCTTCCCTACAGGTTTGGTTGGCTTCCCTACAGAATGCCAGTTGTCTTTCTTGATCAGAGTGTTACTGCACCACTCCACAGCTCAATGTCCTTCTTTCCACATTTGAAGTAGGCTGTTGAGTGTACCGGCGCAGCCAAGGCTTTGGTTATCTCCCCCTTCATTTCCGGTGGAGACCATTTCCACGCTTTCCCAGAGTGGTACAGGTTGCGATTCTGATAGATATCCACTTCCTCGGCCAGGATGCACCATTCATGCAGCCATGCTTCATCCTTATGACCGTTGCCGTGTCTCATGATCAGCTTTTGCAAACTGCTAAATCTGGGGGGGATAACCTGCTCTCCAAAGCGCCTGAAGGCATGACAAGAAGCAACGGATGGAAACTAATTGTAAGGACCCACCCCACTTTGCATCTTAAGAAGACAGAACTCTTGGAATAGTTCTTCCAACAGGTGTCCTTTATTAAGAGAAAATGGTTGCAGGCATTCTAGACAGGACTTGGAGTCCAAGCTCTCCCATTCAAGGTTTTAAGGGGTTCCCCAGTAGCCCAACCCAATCACCCCCTTCTTCCAGCGACAGTCTCAGGCATTACACTCCCACCCCCTTTTCCTTACTGCCTGCTGGATGGAGACTTCAGAGAGAACTACATGAAAGTAATAGCCCCATTGTTATGGTTAGTCCTTTTGGTGATATACACATACAGTTCCTTTGAAGTGTACCGAAGGAAGTGAGGGCCATAAAGCCCCTTTGTTCACCCCCTTCCCTTCATCGTATGACAGAATCCAGAGAAGGCAGTAATGGGGTTTTCTATAGTTGATAACTAGAGATGAAATATAATTGGATTCTGACATCCTGCCCCCTCAAAAATAAGACAGATCCACCTGAAAGAAAACAAAACAGGTGTAAAAGTTAGTCAGGCTTGTTAGGATATTCTGTGTGAAACTTGTTTAATAGCTTCGGGGCTCTGACATGGCATTTATGGACCCACTCGTTTTGTGAGGCAGGGAGGTGTTTCCAGGCAACTAGGTACTGAGTTGCTCCATGATATCTCCTAGAGTCAAGGATTTCCTTTATTTCGAAGTGTTGTTCACCCTCACCATGATTGGAGGTGGGGGGGGATTTTTGGCCGTAAAGGTGACTGACGCTCTCTTTTCAGCAAGCTGCAATGAAAAATTGGGCATATTTGCCTGAGATTTTTGGGTAATTCTAATTCTACTGTTACTGGGTTTATGATTCTTTTAATTGGAAAAGGCCCCATATATTTTGGTCCAAGTTTTTTACAGGGCTATAGGGACTTGAG